TGAGTTTGAATCAATTTCGAAATCTTCTCCCTTGTAACTCGCAGTTCTTGAGGATCACTTCAAATTCGAAAATTTCTTCATACTGAGATATATCCAAACTTGAGTAGATTTAGGAATAAGCCAAGAAGAATTTATGATTGAAGAATGGCTGGTGGCAGAGCAACAGAAAGAAAAAGGGTCCGTGAGTTTTGAAGGCTAGGGTTCTACTAAACCCTGGCCTTTATTTTTAATTTAGCTCTCAAGCAAGCCAATTCTTCCTCTCAACCCTTCAAGTTTCATGCATTTTACAGAATGGTCCATTAATTTTCAATATTATTATTTAATTCCTAGTTAAAATTGGGTTATGACAATAATTGTAATTGTAATTTGAAATTCAAATTTTTTTAATATTCAACTTGGACTTAAGACTCTTAATAAAAAAAAATAGTAAAAGACTTTTAAGAATCTTAATATATAAAAGACTTAATCCTAATAATAATAACTACACTCAGATAAAAAGACTACTTAAAGAATCTTAAGTAATCTAAATAACTATTCAATAGCTTCTTGTTCCTCATCGCATGGTCTTCCATCAAACAGATTCAATTTGATGATATGGAAGAAAAACTCTAGAATTGGCTTCTAAGCTTTGTCACTGCTTAGATCTCCTTTTTTATTTTTTATTTTTGGTATTTTTGCCCAGTATAAAAAGATGAATTTATTAGCCAGGGTACTTCAACCCACAAAATTGTAAGTTAACAGATGTTATATCTGCCCACACCTATACAGCAACCACAAAACCAACAACTAGCGCCCGACAACATCCATTCCGTGGCGCATTCATTGCAAACAGATAGGGGATTACTCAAATACACATAATAATCACTTGTAATCAAACGAGTGGACATCCACTAATTCACACATGCTACCGTCAATTAAAGAAAGTCAATAATTAATTATGTCATGTAGCGCTGTGAGATTTTGTTATAAAATAATATTATGGTTGAATTATTTCGCTTTTATGCTTTTAACTCGCATCTTCTTCATGTAGAGAAGCATTGGAACTTTACTCATTGGAGTTGAAAAATCTAGCCATAGTTATCTTAAGAAAGTTGGCTAAAGCTCTTCACATGGAAACCAGCGAAATGGAGGAGAATTTTGGAGAGGGTATACAGATTATAAGGCTTAATTATTTCCCTCCATGTCTACAACCAGACAAGGTCATTGATCTCAGTCCTCATTCTGATGGTGGTGCGCTCACCATCCTCCTTCAGGTGAATGAAATAGAAGGCCTCCAGGTAAAGAAAGATGGCAAATGGGTTCCGGTCAAGCCTCTCCAAAACGCCTTCATTGTCAATGTTGGAAACGGTTTAGAGGTAATAACTATAAAAAATGCATATTCTTGTTTCGGTTAAATTAAAATTGATGTAATTAGGACAATGGTTGTGGGGTCAGGTCTTTTACCAGGTACTTTCTGTCCAAGCTCCAAGTAGTAGATGAAGAGGAATTTTCCTTGTCATTCCAAATAAAATTAATGACAATTTCAAGGTAGCATTTCTGGTAATTAAGTCATGGTTTTGTTGTTTTTTAGATTGTAACGAATGGAGCTTACCAAAGCGTTGAGTATCGTGTCACAGTTAACTCCGAAATAGAAAGGCTCTCCATTGGCACATTTAAGTATTCAAAATGCGATCTGGAAATAAAGCCAGCAAGAAGCTTGATCTCTCAGGAGAAGCCAGCATTGTTCAAGAGAATCAGCACTGAAGAATACAACAGGGTAAAGCTTGGCGGTAAGCTTAATGGAAAATCTCACCTTGATAACTTTAGATTGTAAAATGATTAATTAGACTCAGGCCAATGAATCATGTAGTAGTGTTACGTACAACAAGCAGACACAGTTATTTTGAATCATGCTTCTATATAATCATCTAACGTTGAAGGATCGGAGAGAGTATAGATTTCGATATCTCCCAGAAATAAAAAAACAAGCTAAATATGGTTATGTCCTCAACTTTATCCTATAAAAAAAAGGTTAAATGCTATTTGTCCCTCAACTTCTACACAAAGCCCCTTTTCTGTCCTTTAACTTAGAAACGTTCGTCCGTGTAAAAAATTCACTTGAAAGGTTTAGGGTGAGTTTGGGATTTTGCTATGAATAGCTGTGATTGTAATTGTAATTGTGTTTAGTTGTGATTGTATCATATTGTAACTGTGGTTGTGTTTAATTGTAACTGTAACATGCTATAACTGTGATCAAAAGTTATTTTTGTATTTAGTTATTTATTTTTTAAAAGTATTATAAATGAAAATGATATATTTTATTAATTATTAATTAAAATTT